GGATCATGACCTGAGCCGAAGGCAGTCGCTTAACCAACTGAGCCACCCAGGCGCCCTGTCTGGCCTTTTAAAAACAGAATTTCCCACCTCTGAGCTCGATCACTGTCCCTGCACTCATGATCCTTAGTAGTGATGGGTTAAGTAAAAAGATAAACGAAGACCCCAAAAGCTCATAATTATCCCAGAATTAAGTGATGCCAGGGTTCTACGGTTTCTGCTCGGCAGACTGTCCTTAACTACCCGAGTCCTGCTCCTTCCTGCCAGGAAGCTGGGTCCTCAGCTGCTGACCAGGGTCCTCGGCTGCTGGATACGGGAAGGTGAGGCTGGGGTGACGGCCAGAGGAAGCATAAAGCCCCACAGTGACAACTGAATAATGCAGGCCTCACAAGACCCTGAAAGTAATCTTCGTAATCAACCCAGAAAGGTTAAATAATATTCAGTAGGATTTTATTATAGTCTAATTCTTTGAGAGCATATCTACGAAGACATGCTAAGCTGGGTATCCAGAAGTAGAGGGGAGGGGGCATTTACTCTTATAGCATGTTTTTATGCCTCCCATTCTTCCCATTCATGTGGCAAACTTCCAATTGCAAAATATTTTAGGCTTAGGGTTGTTTTGCACTTTTTTTTTTGGTATTTATTTATTTATCTATTTTAAGTAGGCTCCACGGCCAACGTGGGGCTTGAACTCACAACCCAGAGATCAAGAGTCGCAAGCTCTACTCACTGAGCCAGCCAGGCGCCCTAGGTTTGGGGATTTGGAAAAGCTTTACACTCATCCAGCAAAAGTGGGTGCAATCTTCCTTTCTCCATTTCACACTTCTTGAGTGCCTACCGGGTACCAGGGAGATGCCCTGTGCTCGGGAACAGTCGACCAAGATACAGTTTCCACCCTCAGGACATTCACAGAGCACTGACGCTCCCCTCAACGTGTTATTTTGAAAAATTTCAAGCGGACAGCAAAACGGAAAGAATGATACCTATGTGCTTCGTCTGCCCTTTGCCTAAGTTCACTAATTAACATTTCCTCTCTCTCTCTCTGCCCGTCTTCCTATATATTTATATGCACACACACATTCATTTTTCTGAACCATGTGAAAAGCTTCAGACATTAGGACATGTCACCCCTAAATAATTCTACATTATCTCCTTTGAACAGTGTAATCCACTGACACGTTCTTCAAGAAATGGCAAAGAAATGAATCTGGGTCTCCAAGGTTAACCGTCCACTACCTGTTGGAGTGTAATTCACCTACTGATGTTGAGGTAGCAAAAAAACCAGGGATAAAATTTTGCTGTGAGGATGCCTGGGTGGCTCATTCGGTTAAGCGTCCGACTCTTGATTTTGGCTCACGTCAAGATCTCAGGGTCGTGAGATTGAGCCCCACGTCTGGTTGGGCGTGGAGCCTGCTTGAAATTCTCCCTCTCCCTCTGCCCCTTGTGCATGAGCATGCACGCGTGTGCTCTCTCTCTTTCTTTCTCAAAAAAAAATTTTCTTTTTTTGCTGTAAGATTACCCACACACAGATAATAAAACTAACTTCATTAGCATATTTTAAATCCACGTTGAACTAACTTCATTAGCATATTTTAAATCCACGTTTAACGAAGGAGAGAAATAATATGAATAATCTCAAATCATTATCTTATTTGTTTTGTTTGGAACGGATGTTTCAGGGCTTCTCACCGAATATGTGTCTTGCATCTTCCTATTTATGTCAACTTGGATTAGTGTTACAGTGTCTGAAATCCTAAAATGGGATTAGGGAGGACAGATCCTACAAATGCGCTGGAGGAGAGAAGGCAAATAATCTTTCCCTGTGAATGCAGTTAAAGTCAGCCCTCAGCCGACTGTTGGCAGGAGCGGCTGAGCGGCCTCCCCCAGCCCATCGGCCCCCGTGGACTACCGCAGTCCGCCTACCTGGGGCGAAAGCAAACATCGCGAAGCATTCTCCCGTGGAAGCAAGTGCAGTGACCACAGAGCGCTTTTTGTCAAAGTACTGAGATAAAATGGTGACAGTTGGTAGGAAGCTAAAGCAGTATCCCAAACCTGAAAGAAAGCGGGAAAGAGCAGTCAGAACCACGTACCGACTGATCCCAGAAGGGTGCATTCAAAGATCTGGGATTTTTGTATTTATTTTTGTTTTAGTATTTAATTTAACCTACGTATGTATGTATGTACTTTTAGGGATGACTTAGTTTTTTTATATTCTGTGCCATGTCAAAAAGACATTTTTGCTTTTGCAGAAGATTAGGTGCCAACATGGACTTTGGTCACAGTGCATAACAATTTGAAAATAATACCAAAAAAGTTAACAACCAGACAATCTAATCTCTTGGAAATCCAAACAGTCCATTTCCGAAATAATTCCTGGGCAAAAGGGGAAATAGAAGCTGCCATTATAAACTGTTTGGTGGGGGAGGGGCGTTTATTTTTTTAAATCATAAGTTCTGGGAGCCAAGAATTCCATTCTGGAAAAAAAGGTGCTGTAACAAAAAATAAAATAAAATAGGTTTCGTTAGAGGTCTAGAGAAGCTGTAACCATTGTTTTTGGGATGCTAGGAGTATAAAACTGTTTTCTGTTTTTTTCCCCCTATTTTTCTGCATTAAAACAATTTCTATAATTCACAATGGACTATTATTGAATATAGTTTTTAAAGAAGACTTGTATTTGGAAATCAATGAGCTTTGTTAAGTGCAGAAATATATGAAAAGTGAGAATCTTCACTAAACACGTATATCATCTGTAAGTAACGTGTGGACTCCTTTTAAAGGGAAAAGAGTTCTCCTGCTGCACCCTCCCCTATGTCCTGGAAGCCTCGCATTCCCACTGTGGAAATACCCGCTAAAGAAATTCACATCTTACTTTATGAAAATGATGCCTTTTGGCTGCAAACTCATGCAAAAGAGAAGTTATCTTTCTCATGGGTAAATATATATTTTTTTAAAGCCCGTCAGAAACTCTGGGGCAGGGGCGCCCGGGTGGCTCAGTCGTTAAGCGGCTGCCTTCGGCTCAGGTCATGATCTCAGGGTCCTGGGATCGAGCCCCGCATCGGGCTCCCTGCTCGGCGGGAAGCCTGCTTCTCCCTCTCCCACTCCCCCTGCTTGTGTTCCCTCTCTCACTGTCTCTCTCTCTGTCAAATAAATAAAATCTTTAAAAAAAAAAAAAAGAAACTCTGGGGCACTGAGAGGAGGTTCCCATATCCCCTGGAGTCCATCCAGCCTGGTTCAGAACCACTGATCTGGGACACTATTAATTTCAAAGAAAAAAAAAACAACAGAGAAAGGGAGACAGAAGTACTCTTTGGGCTGCACCCCCTCCCTCCCCTTCCTTGGTCTTCAGATTGGGTATTTCTTTCGAGCCCAGGAGCAACACTTACCGGATATGATGCCGATTGAGATGTACATGTGGTAGAGCTCCCGGGAGAAGGAGGCCATCACCATTCCCGTGCTGACAAGCAGGCCCCCTGCCACCACCACCAGACGGTGTCCGAAACGGGTGCTCAGGACAGCAGAAAGGGGAGCTGCAGATAAGGACCATAATGGGATATTTTATTTCTTATGTTAAGATTTTATTTATTTGTTTATTCTATTTATTTATTTTTTAGAAAGAGAGAGCAGGGGAAGGGACAGAGGGAGAAGGAGAGAGAATCTCAAGCAGACCCCGCACTGAGTACCGAGCCGGACGCAGGACTCGATCCCATGACCCTGAGATCAGCACCTGAGCTGAGAGCAAGAATCAGAAGCTCAACCGACTGAGCCACCCAGGGGCCTCCATAATGTGATATTTTAACTCCAAAGGCATAAGCGTTAGCTTTCTTAAGATTCCTTTTCTTGGGATGCCTGGGCTCAGGTCATGATCTCAGGGTCCCGGGATCGAGCCTCGTGTGGGGCTCCCTGCTCAGCGGGGAGTCTGCTTCTCCCTCTGCCTGCCCCCCCCCGCCGCCCCATGCTCTCTCATGTGCGCTCTCTCTCTCAAATAAATAAAATCTTTAAAAAACAAGATTCCTTCTTTTAAGTCTTGAACATGAAAAGATGATGTGTGATATATAATGCATTTTACACAATGGTTATATTTGCTCAACCGGACAGTGTATTTTTTAGGCTTCTTAAAGAGAAAGCCAGAATAACAGTATAAAACTTACAGCAATATTTTTAGATGAAAGTGATATAAACTCACCGTGAGCACCTATAAAGTTAGATATGCATTTAATGTATGTTATTCTGTCATAAAAATGGGCTTTCCCATGATGGCTTGAATCGTTTCCTTTTTCTACAGTCACTGCTTTGGATTCTTTTTTTAAAAAGCTCCATTTTGGGTCAGTTTCTAGCTCAGTTTCATTTGACTTTTCTGAAAATGATATGAAAGTATAGTGAATTCTCTGTTGAACATCCCAAAAGGAGGATAGCCATAGGATAGATAATTCCGAGTGGCTGAGGGATTATCATTCATTTAGCTTCTATACTCCATATCCTGAAGAACATTTAAGTCTGATAAATTCGTTTCCTGGTGGTATGTTACTTAGGCTGACCCTGATACTGACTTGAATATACAGAGATGAGGGAACCTTTGAGAATTGGATAAAAGCACAACACAAAACGTGCTGGATAGAGGAGGGGGAAAAAGGACTAAATTTTGCTGGGGTTGGTGTATATATAATTCTGTGTTAGTAGAATATAAACCAATATTGAATATAGCTCATAATGAAACCACTCTCATCAGCTTTAGGTAGTATGTTGGCTCAAAGCATTAACTACTATAATAATAGCATTTAAGAGACTTATTTTCTGGTATAATAGTATTAACTGGACATTTCTTATTGACCGTATTATTTTTGGTTATAAAAGAGCTCAAAGCAAAGCTTTGGCATTTTCTTTTTATTTAGATTACCAAAGGTGAAATTTTAGTTCTAATTCACTTCAGTTATCTCTCCAAGAAAGTCAACTTTCCACAATTAGAAAATTGAGTATCTTAATACTCAGTTAAACCTGAACTAGGAACTCTTCCGTGAAGCTTGCAAGACAGAGTATTAGGAGTAGTAAGAGAAGTTTGTTACTCGATAGGAAAGGACAGGGGAGCTGCCTCTTTTAAGACATTTTATGCCTGAAAACTATCTAGAATTAAAGAAAGAAAACTTCAGAGGTAAAAGTTCCATTGGCAGGATATTAAGGTAAAGTCAGGGAAGTGTAAGGTCAGCCCCGTTAGCTTTCTGAGGTGAGTTCAGTAGCTGTGTTTTCTCAGAAGCCCTCGGTGTGGCCCCTGGCAGACGGATGGACCGTCGTGAGAATCAGGCCCGTAGGGGACCCAGTGAGAATGAGCATGTTACAAGTTATACTCAAACCCCGTTTTCTCTGAAGCTGTTGGACGTGGGAGTTCTGCACGGTGGCTAGCCAGTGAAATCCTTTAGGGAAGCAGGTGTCTGGAATTCATCCCTTCTGAATGAGGCTTGTCACTTTACACTATATCCTATTTCACACCCCCTCGTTCTTCGTCATGTACCCACATTTCATGTGCCGAGCCTGTTTGCCAAACATGTTTTTATGAGACCAGAGCCTAGGATGCCAAATGCTTTTGCTGTTGCGTCTTTAGAAAATGACTATACAGGATGGAGGTTTACTGCTGGCCTCAAAGTCATCTACCATATCCTAAGAGTGTGCATACAGTAGGTGTTTAATGCATGTGTGTATACACTGAAGGCCATCGGGGTGGCAAATAAGCCCTTTTCCTTCAGCACCTCGTATCTTGCCATCCCCAAACCCCTGAAAACCATATTACTTATTTGAGGCTTGAAAGGGCCCACAGGTCATAGAAGGAAACTCATCGCCAACAGGATGGGGACCATTATGTAGTTAAGCCAATGAAAAGGGGTACATGGTTACATGTTGTTTAAACAGAAAGAGGTACTAACCTGTAAATGTTAAGACAAATACACATATTGATATGACCCACGAGATCCTGCTATTAGATTCATCAAAACTGTCCATTAAGTCATTAAAGAAGACACCAAATGACTTGATGATGCCGTAGGTAAAGACTTCAACGAAGAAAAAAGAGACAGCTACCACCCAGCCCCATCCTCCATCAGGCACTTGAGTATAAACATTGGCTCTGGAACAAAGCTGTGATGTCTTTTGGGTCATTCTTAATCTGAAATAAAAAATTAAAAAAAAAAAATTCAGACCAGCAATAGGGTTGATGCTTCTGCTACTCTTTAGCCAACGTTAAGAGACAAAAACTAAGTACCATATTTCTTAGGGCGATGAATATTTAAATAATGTGCAGTTACTATAAAGTCTTTGGATAACAGTTACATATTTATTCAATGGTCACAGCTGGGGACTGTTACTTCCAAATTCTTTTGTATTTGTATTGTAGATGGAAGCCCCGAAGAAATGGGAAGTAAGACTTCCCAGCTGTGACAATAAATGGGAAAAACAAACAAAAGGAATCAGAACGGCATACGTAGGGGCAGCCCACAGGACACAGAATGGCCACCAGACCCAAGTACTGATGCTGACCTTGAACTTGAAGACCAGTTAGGTAAAGGAAGCTTGAACTGATCATAAAGCATGTTGCTCAGAAATGAAGCCTAGAAACTGGGAGGCTGAGAGGCCGACATTGACATTCCATCTAGCACCTTCTATGGGATAAGCGTTTGTGACATCCTATAGATACCCTATGCATCTCTGCCTGATGCTACCAGCCATTCAGATCATTGATCCCGTTTCTCGCTCAGTCAGCCTGATTATGATCTGGTGTCCCCCGTGGATGTACCTACATGTGAGAACTCTGTCTTCTGGGAGTTTGTTTAGCATGAGTAAATTCCTCAAAGTTGATCACTACTTGACGTATCAGCAATTGACAAATACTCTAGAATACAGTGACCAAAGAAAGCACTACAAATTTGCAGGGCTCTGGGCAGCCAGTTAACCTAACCAAGTTAACCCCTGACCTTAGTATGCTTTTCCATTTGAACTGCAACAAATATCAGAGCAAAACAGACCTGTGCCCGAAACACCACTAGTAAGGGGAAACACTGTATTTAACACTGGAGGGAGGATGGGTGAACTTGAGTCTTCCCCACTGGGTTCTAACACTCATTTGCAGAGCCCCTGCAATTACATGCACTTTGAAACAGTGATATGTCGGCTAATTGAACATAATAAAAAATAAATAATTTTTTAAAAGTAAAAAAATAAAAATAAAAGAAACAGTGATGTGTTTTTAGCCCAACCCCAAATTAATATCTATAATAATACATGAGTCCATGGTCTTAGAACACTTGAATTGAAGAATTCTCTACAATCATACAGTTGTATACAGGTGAATTTTCAGGATGTGTGAGTGTCCTCTTCCTGGCCATAACTTGTGTTCAAGTACTAAGGCAGGTTTTATTGATAATGCAGGGCAACTGAAAAATAAGAGGACACAACCCCATCTATCCAGTCGACTTGCCAAGTTTTGGGATTAGGATCTAATATTGAGTTTACTCTGTAAATCTTAAAAAAGCAGCGCATCTGACCTAACTCAGTAGCGTTCATCCTATTGAGGGTGCCATTCCCACCGTAGCCTGGGTCTCTAAAAGGACAGTGTACTCACTTTCTGTCCTTTACTGTTAAATATTTGATTGAATGAAATAGGGCATAAGATGCTTAAAAAAGCTTATGCTCTCTGCAGCAGAGACCTCTGCATTTTGATGTGCGTCAGTGTGTCCTTCCTGAGAGCACTTGCAAAGCGGGGGAGGCCAGTTAAATGCCTCAAGATGTAGGCTGAGCATCGACAGAACAGTTTTGCCATTAGTGTTCCCTAACATGGAAAACAGCTGATTTAAGATGGAAGTGGGGAGCCCTCCCCCAAATGAGGTTTTCACAACGCCCTTCCTTCATTACACTTTCAAAATGCACTCCCAAGATGAAGCCAGCGGGGGCAGAGGAGTGAGACATTGCTGGGCTTAAGATCTAGAAGACCAAAAATAAAATAAAAGTACTTCCCAGCAATAGGGTCTATCTAGTATTGAGTGTTTATCCCTAGGGAGAGGTGGAGGGGAGAGTGGGGGGAAAGTGGTATGAGCCCACAGCTTAGGTCCTTAGCTTCACCCCTTCTAGTTCATCCCCCCACCAGGCTGTTCGTTGGGCTTTTCCTTGTGGAGCCCCAGACTCCTTTACTAGCCTAACTGGCTCTGTGTGTCCAGTACGATTAATCTCTTTGAAATGCTGCACTGTTATGACATTTTTCTGCTTAGTCTTTTTCAGTGGCGTTCCTCTTTCTGAAGGATAAATAAAACCCAGGGATTAGCCTGGCTTTCAATGCCTTCATCGTTGGACCCCACCCTCTCTTTGTAGCCTTCTCGCTTCCAGTTCTAAGACTTGACTCAGGCTCTGGTCCAAATGGATTCCTCCTTGCCCTCCCGTCCCTAACCACCTTGTCTATTGCCACACCCTTCCCGCTAACCTCCCCCCCACCCCCGCCGGGGGGCTAGGTGCCCCCCTTACAGCAGGTACCTGTCAGGCCCCAGGCCATCAAATCTTCCTTCCTCCACAATGCTTCCTCTGACCCACTTCACCTAGGGGGTTCTCTTCGTGTGATACGTATCCCTTAGTAATGGGGTATTGTTTACTTATATGTGTTTATCTTATTTGATCAATTAAATTATAAGCTCAAGGAAAACAAATCCTGGGGCCTTGAACTCTTTGTACCTTCTTCTCCCTTCCCACCTCCAGACCCTGCACACAGTTGGTATTTAGTTTTTCAACAAAGTGCCTATGAGGGGCCAGGCCCTATGCTAGGCACCAGGGATAGATACTCCAGTGAAAGACAAGAGGGATGGTCTCTGTCTCTATGGACTTAAATCTCTGTTGATGGTAATGACAGGAATCCTAAGCCTGAAATGCGTAGTAAAACCATTTGCCATGTCCTTCCAGAGCTCAGCACGTTTCTAACAGGCAGTTAGGCTAAGTGGTAACCAAGCCCAAGGACCTATTGGCACAATTGTTCTAACCCAGAAGGGTGCCCAGATGACCTTAGGGCTCAGGACCAACCTGAATAAAGACATATTGGGATAAAACTGATCAAGGCCCCAAAGAGACAGAAATTTCTCTCTAGCCTAAAACCACTACGGGATCAAGAGACAGAATCTTTACATTGGGACTGCATGTAGGACAAGATTGCCGTTTTTGTTATGAAGAGGGGGTTACCTATCGATCGTCAGAAGTTTCTGGTGATGGGTGCCTACCTCACTCTTTCTTTGCCCTTTATGATTTGTGGTTTGGACGTGCAACACGGGGTGGGGTTCCCATCAACCGGGAGCCGGGTGGTGTTACAATTATGGAATGTTAACTCAGAAAGGGGATTTGGAGCTCATTTGTCCATCTCACTGTAAAATCGTACTCATTTTGCAAAGGGGGAGGAACTGAACCCAAGAGAAGGCACTTGACCTAAAGAGTCCAGAATCAGGTCTCCTGCCTCCCGGGCTCCTGCCTTATAAGTCTAAGGGACATCATTTGAAAAGACCCAGAAGGGGGTGTCTTAGGTAGAGATTGTGAGGAATGCTTTTCAGAGACAAAAACTCCTTTGACCTCCATTAGTTAAGGGAGGTTGGCCTGGATTCTCTTTAAGGTTCCATTCTGCTTTGGCAATTCATACTCTTGTATTCAGCACGCAATCTGAATACGTGGAATCTCCTGATTCCTCAGGCCAAACCTGGTGGCCCAGGGAAGCAGGAAAGTGCAAATGCTAGATGGTTCTTGCAAATGGAGGTGAAAAGTAGTTGGACCCTGCTTAGACCTGATCTGCAGTGGCTGGTTAGATGGAAGACTTGACTGCTCTCATCTGTGGACTTTCTGAGCTCCCTCTGGGTGTTCGATGCCTTTGTTTTTGTAAACTTTGCTTTACATCCGTGCTACTCTCCTGAAGCAAGATCCTAACAGAACTTTCACCTGCACTGTTAGGTTTCTGGACAACAGAAGCTTTCTTATCATTACTGGGAACATCATAAAGGGAAGATGACACCCCCAAACCCACTCTTCCTCCAAACGTTATGCCTCTATCATCCTAAAACATCGCATGTCCTATTGTATTTAGCTTTGAGGGTAAGACCACAATCTAGAATAATCGTAGAATAACCTGGTTTCTGAAACATACTGGATGAGAAACTCTTGTGTTTTGCATGTCCACGCGCCTAGAAGGGTGATCGGCAGCTCTTTCCAGACCCACAGCCTGGCAGTGTGTTCAGACGTAGTAGGTGCTCAATAAAAGTTCCCTAGACAAAGTAGGAGTCTGGGCGTGCTGCTGAAGCAGGGCCCTGCTCTAGCCTTATAAAACGCCAAGTGAGGGAGTCCCTGCTTGCAGAATAAATCCTTTCCTGGTCTCCTCTCCTTTTTCATACGTCCATTCATTCCATAGGCCAACTGGCTGAAAAGTGTCCCCCTCCACAAAGCTAGAAACAAAGGCCTGAATTTTGAACTCAGTTACTTAGAAGCTTCTACGAGTTCCAGAATACAAAATACCGTCTGGTTCGGTTTTTTTGGTGATGTGAACTTAGCTTACAGAAAGGGAAATTGGTTTACTACATGGGGGTCTAACTGGTGAGGCATCCTGAGGGGCCGAATCACTTTGCTCCTTGATTTTGTGCTGTCAGCGGGTAAGTAGGAGAGTTTTGCTCCTCATCTCTGATCTCGCCTTGTCCTAAGAATCTGCAGTTTTAGCACAGCTTTTGAGCCTGACTTGCTCTGAGTTACACTTTCATCCTTCTTAACTTTCGAGCCCTTTGGGGCAAAGCCCATGGGTTTGTCGTCTTGAAGCCCTCGGGCATTATTTGTTGAACGTCTGTTTACCATTAACTGGCTGCACAATCTTGGGGAAATCACTTAATCCCTAAATTTCATCATCTGTAAAGTAGGGATTAGACACCGCGGACTTGAGGGGCTCTCCCAACTGTAAAATTCTACAATGGGGGTTCCTGGCAGCCAACCCACCTGCACCCTCATGTTTCCCCAAAGGAAATACAATGACCAAATACAGGGGGGCGGTTTGGAGTATTTCCAGTGAGTACTCGGTTGTCTTAACCCTAAATAAATGAGGCTTCTGCCAAGGCACGGAAATCGGCTCTACCTGGGGATTTCACTGTGACTCCATTTGTTGAGTAAAGATTGGATTTGGGGGCATCCAGAATGCAAAATATTGGATTATTATAGACCATCAGAGTGTCAGTCCAGGGTCTGTTCAGAGCAAAGTCCAAAATGCAGCCTTTGGATCGAAATGGTGGTGACTGCTGGGATAAGCCAAGCCTCTCGGCAAACGCCCTGCCAATCTCTGTTCTTCTGAAAGGCGTAGCCCAGAGAGAACAGCTTTCGACAAGTTGTTTCCAGCCCCAGTTGTCAAAACCAGTCTGCATTTAGGTGAAGTTCATTTGAATTCTCTATTAAAAAAAAGTCCCCAGCCTAACCTGGAGGTCTGCCTCAGCAGCTCTGAGTCATCGGCTACCACCGATTCCCCCATTTTACAAGACCATGATGTTGAAACCTGAACCCCTACTTTAAGTGTCCTCCTCAGGAGTTCCACTGAGGAAGGTCCATTTTTGGAAACCACAGAAGGAAAACTCACAGTTAGTGGTACTCATTAAGACAGAAGGAGCTTTTCCACTTGGCTGCATTGTTTATTTACAAACTGGAACTCTCTATCTTGGCCACCCTTCCCTTAACTATGAGAAGAGATATTTCTTTATCCCTGGGGCAGGATGTATTGTTGACCCCAAAAATGCCGCATAATGGTGCTTGGGACATGGGAGGATGCATCGCTTAGAAATTTCAGCGTAAGCACTTGGTATTTTTCTGCAGATGAGACACTCATCTTATGATTTGCACAACAGTAAGATTACTGAGAAATCTCATTCCCAGAGTGGAAACCCTCTCCCGCAAGAAGGAAATGGCACGCGTGTCTAACGGTGCAAACAAAACCAGCTTCCAGGTTGTCAAGTTGTAATGCTCTTCCCCAGTTGGCTCTGGGGAGCTTTGTCTAAGACTAACGCCCCCCGCGTTGGGTGACATTTTCCCTGCCACCTAACAAACTTCTGTCACCTGTCTGCCAGGGGAGAGTGGGGGGGGGGGTGTTTCATTTTAAAAGCATAGAAAAAAAGCAAAGCAAAGAAAAAAAAACCCTGAAGGAAAGAACCCATTTCCTCTGCAAAATCATCCTCCGCCACTACGGAACTGCTCAGCCACTCGGGCGCTTTCCTGCGGTTGGCAGCCCCAAACGGGAACCTTGGAAGTTGAGCGGGACCAGCCGTCAGGCGCTGACAGCTCGCACGGTCAAGGTGTAGGACCCGCGCGCTCTGCAGGGCAATCCCTGCCTTCCCTCTGCGGGGTCACGCTGGCTGTCCCGGGTGCCTGTGCCAAGGGGGGGGGGTGCACAGGGATTCCCACTTGCCCTCGCGCTGCCTCAGTGGCCAGCCTGAGAGCGCGCGCGCGCGAGCCTGGGGAAGGTACCTCTGACATTTCGCTCTTGTGACGCGCAGCCAACTTCATGCGGAAAATCCACGCAGGGGTGAGCCGGGCTCCCCCCACTCGCCCGATGGCCTGAAGCCCCTAACCCGGGGCGGGGGACACTCCAAACCAAGCCTGCCTCTAGCTATTTTCCGGACCCCAACTGCCAGGGCTACGGGCATTCAACTCTCAGCTGCCCACACTGGCGAGAGCGCGTCATCCCGGTGGCCCTGGGCATTCCCAACTGTCAGAATATTTTTCAGAATAACCTCTCCAAAATGTTAAGATGTGAAGTGGTCTCCTCCCGCCTCCCCCACCAAAAAGATAAATAAATAAATAAGACTCCCAACACAGATTAAAAAAAAAAAAAAACCAAACCCACACCCCACAATCAAACTTTTAAACATGTAAAATAATAAAACCAACTCACCAAGTTAGAAGGGAAGAGAATAAACCCCAAAAGGCTCCCAATAAGGCGGAGGCTTGGCCTCCCCCTCCTTATAAGCCGCTCGGTAACATGAGAAAGGTTTAACCCCTTAGGGCGTGGGCCCGAGCCTACCGCAAATTGGCTCCGGCGGGTGAGCAGCGGGCACCCGGCCCGCAGCGCCCCGGCCCCGGCCCCCCACCCACGGCCGC